CTGATCTCGCCACCAATGGCCCTCCCCTGGTGGCCTGGTTGCCCCCAACTGCCCCCCCCCCCAGCTGGCCTGGTTGCCCCCCACAGCCTGTTCGGTCGTCCATTCAGTTGCAATGGTCGCTTAGGCTTTTATATAGATAGATATGTCCCCGGAGGAGGACAGGACCCCAGCTTCAGTAGGAGAGAAGGTGGAGTGATGACCAAGCCCCAGGAAATAACCAAGCCTGGGTATTATGACGGTCGTTACTACCATCGGTATGAGGAGTGTTACCACTAATAAGAACAGTTAGCTGGCATTGCCACAGGCAGCAACCATCTCACTATATTCATAAGCTTTGCCAAGTGGGACACATGCCTCATTCAGGCTGCATGGGTCCGTGGTCTGGACTTCGGCTTTAGAAGTTTAGAAACTAAATTAGATGTTTATTCATTTTGCTTAGACGCTCACAGTGAATTGATTCAAACTAGCCAAACTCAAAAGAGATTTGAAAGAAATAACTGGGGTGTCAGTTCACTAAATCATAACAAGATTTGTGTCCTGTGAGGTGATTGGAGATGCATGTCATCACCCTCACAATTTTCCTTGATAGGAAACATTCCGTGAGAAAGCAAATTGAAACCAGAAGTTTCCCTTAAGAACAAGGAATCAGAGCAGTGAAGTCGATGCCTCAGCAGTTTCCAGGGGGCCTGTAGTGGTCTCAGGTCACCCTTCTCACCAAAGGGCATTACTGTCCATGGATACAGCTCCTCCTTTCAGCTGATCAGTTCTTAGCCCCTCCCCGCCCCCGCCGGCTCCTTTCCTGCCTAAAGTCCAGCCACCACCCCACTTTTCCTTATTCTAGCTTCATCTTGTTTATTTCGGCAGGCATTATAATTCCACGTTTACTGATTCGATTTCACTGACTGCAAGGGTTTTCAGAAAGGTGCCTGATTGCCCTCCACATTATTTACTGATTCGATTTCACTGACTGCATTTCCATGTGGCTGCTTTCAGAAAGGGTTTTCAGAAAGGTGCCTGATTGCCCTCCACATTCTGTACTGAGTGGGCCCTGTGGTGGCTCACTGCCTTTCTTAGCGTCAGTCTCAGACACAAGTGCTTCTTGACCAGCTTTCAGCTTCGTCCGTGGCCTGTGATCCTCTGTC